TTCCGTATTTTGGAATAAGAAACTGGTCAATAAAGTGCTTCAAGTCGCGCAGAATGTTCATGATGGACTTCGGCGCCAGATCTTTATCGCAAGTATAAAGCCATTCCTCAGTTTTGGAGGCATCAGTAAGTCCTTTCGTTATTATACAAGCGCTTCGCAGCTTGCTTATTTTGCCATTCAATTTCTTCGTCGTGAACGATGAGGACATGTTCATTTCAATATCCTTCAGCCTCATCTTTTTGTATTCTGCCAGAAGTTCCGCAAAGTTATATGTCTTGCGTGTAAGGTACTTTTCATCCAGCTCTTCCTCTGTTTTCGCAGCTTTATCCCGGATGAACTGAGGAAGATCTGCAAGCGAGTTTACCGTTAACCACTGTGGCTCGTGGTTACCGAATTTTGGCTTGCTCCCTTTCTTTACGCTCAGCTTATGTCTGAACTTCTCGTCGACAATCTCGAGACATTCCAGACATAAGAATTTTCTTCTGCCTTTGTTTATTCGCTGCAGATGAACTTTTTGCAGAATATTTACAATTGTCTTCCTTGACTTTGTGCCCGGTTCTGAAGTGTTTTCTCGGAGTGTCGCCTGAGGAGAACGAATCACTGCAGAAACTGCAGTCGTACTGTTTCAATTTCGTACTCTCAAGGTCGTTCTTCGCTGTTACATCTTCGTCCTCACTTTCAGAACACGAGCTAGACGAAGGCTCTGGGTTACACTTATGCCTCCGCTGGGGAATCACATAGTCAGGGTCATTTTTAAGTTCCAAATGATAGACCTCTTGACATGGCACACTCAGTTGGAACGAAGCATCAGCGAGGTTTTACAGGCAATAGGTTTCAAATGGATCCAATTTCAACCCATGCTCCTCTTGTATATGTTGTTTCATGTCCACAAAATGGGCTTTTGAAACAACCTTGAAACACTGAAAACAGCTCATGAAAGAGTGCATTTTCTGCTCATTGATGATTGGAGGTTTTTCAAACAGGGCTTCATACTGCACTCGCGCTGGTGTCCAATCATTTCTTCCACAAAAGAAATGGAGTAGTCACAGTGCAGACAAGCTCCTTGGGGTGATTCTTGTGACTTTTTCTCTTCACTATTCTCCTTTCTTCTTTTCGTCGTTTCAATTTTGTCTTCAATTGGCCCTCTTTCTCTTGAAGGCGGCATTTCAAATCTCTTTACCTTTTTTGTGAAGAGGAAAATCAATTGTAAGGTATTTACGATCTGGGTTGTCCTATGGAAGCAAATCTTTTTCCGAAGTTGTTGCATATAACAAATCGGGTCGCTCCTTGAATACTTCTCCTATTGGCTTGTCCGGGATGGTTCCTTCTTCGTCGTCAGTACTGATAAGTTCGTCTGATGCATCACTTTCTGTTTCTATTGACACCGATTCATCCGCTGATACTTTAGAGATTGTATCCTCATATGGAACTGTAGTCTGTCTGTATGAAGGATTCCGAGTCGTTGTCTCTGCTTTGAATCCTCTAGGGCATCTAGATTCCTCGATAGTCGTACAACAACTCCTGTCCACGGGCAATGTCTCTTATTGCTGCAATTTTTATATGCTTTTGTCCTTTGGTGTCTATATACAACTTTGGATCGCAGTTTGGTTTCTCGTTCGAGCAGTCGTTGATGAAACGCGCCAAACCACTGTTCGGATCCTTGGCGTCAATGTAAAAGTTGTGTTTTTCGTTGACAAAAACATAAGTGTTATCCTCTTCTTGGCTTGTTTTGCAGTAGCTCTCTTTATCAAGTCGCTTTCCCGATAAAACAACAAGAAGTCTCCTTTGTTTACGTCCTGTCGCACAAATAGTCCTTTTCCTTTTGCTCCACAATCTCTCACAACGAATTTCTCCTCAGGGTCCCTCTCAATCCACTTCTCAATGTTATATCGCTCGAATCTTCTATTTAAGTGTCCTCGGTCCAGCTTCTTCGTTTTCATACCTTTCATCATTTTCGAAACAAGTTTTCACGTATCTAGAAAAAATTCATCATCAATTTACATCATTATAAAACTAGACCAAAATATAACATTGTTAAATTCTATCAGGCGAACAGGAAACATAGGTAAGAACTAGAAGCTCGTAGTCCTGTTTGAACTGAGTACTTAGCTGAAAAAAAGTCCACTAATTAAAGCAAAAGTTGGAAGTGAAAAACCCAAAGGAATTGAAAACCAAAAAAAAAGGAAACGCCAGTTGCTGAAAATCAACCATGCTACGATTTTGGTTTTTACTGCTTAAAAAATATTACAAAAGTTTTATCGTAACTGGTACATAGGACGTTTTACTTTATTTAGTTTTCAGGTTCCAATCTTCAAGATGCTTCTTAATCTGCTTGAAGAGGCTTTTGAATGCTTCTAAATTCATTGGGAGGTTCATATGTCTGAACTTGTTTAGAAGTTCGGCTGCTTCCCCCGATGACTAAGATAAAGCGCTGCAACTGTTTTGTAGTCCTCTTCACTCAGCACATACGCGGCCATGTTTGGTCTTGACTTTCTCGTTTTCAGAAACGAGATGATGTTTACTTCCTCATTTTTCATGTCTCCGCTGCTTTTAAATTCCTCTTCTACTTAACTATTTTCTTTTTGAATCTCCGCATCATCGTCTTTTTCTAGCTGGATTGTGGTTTCAAAGGGTGTTTCCTTGAACTCTTCTTCCGCCACTTCCCCAATCGCGGGTCCTTGAGTAAAACAGGCGACTTGATTTGCTGGCTCATCCAGCACTCTATTGGTATATACACTTGTTATTGCAGCGTTCTGCTTTTTTGTCCTCTCCAATTTGTAGAACCGCCTAGCAGTTTTTGCTGTATGCACCGTATGCTGTGGTAAATGCCTCCAGGGTTTTGGGGTCAGGCACTGTTTCCTTCCAGTTCGTGGTCATTAGTTTTCTGTAGGCTGTGGTTGTCAGATCAAAATGCTGCATCCCATGCTGTCGAAGGATTGATCGGGACCAGTTTTTCACAAAATCCTTTTGATCCTCCGATGAGAAAAAAGTGTCGGCATGCATGGGTACCAACAAATAATGGTGCTGTCAATTCATTTTCTGCCTTAAGTTGGCAAACAAACGCAATAACTTCATTTCTGTCTCACTGACGGCCTGCCATTTGATTCCTTCGCAATAAAAATTTTTGTGCGTTTTCATTAGCAGTTTCTCCATCTCTGCTTATCTTTTCCGCTAACTCAGAACCTACGTGTCCGTAGAACACAACTCATAGAAGAACATGGTCATACGCACATTGTACGAAACCCTCACATTGAAAAAATTCTCATGTCAAACGTCAATAATTAAACACTCGTATCGATTTTACGAGAAAAACTCAACAACAACATATCTACACTCAGAAACCTGTAACTCGGAACCTACGTCCTTGATTTTACGAGAAAAAAACAACAAACGACCTGAGTCCCAGGGAGGTAACAACATTAGCCCAGAGCACTTTTTTTAAAAGGTGAACGCTCACTGCTGGTTCCCTCAAGGCTGATAGAGATAAAAGTGCCCTTCTTTGAGCAAACCACTATGTGGCCGACCCGGGCAGTAGCTCTTGGAATTTGGAATGAATTGTTCCAATTTCTGTCATGTACGTGTATTGCTTGAAAACAAAAACAAGTCCATTTTTATGCGGGTTTCAGCCGCATAACTATGTGACTTGCTTTTGTTTTCGAACAATTAACGAACATTATACATTGCTTGAGGTCTTGAGTAATTCATTTTTTTTTGTGTTTTCCTGCACACAAACAAATGAATTACTCAAGTCATCAGGCAATGCAATGACAGAAATTGGAACAACTCGTCGCAACTTCCAAAAGCTAATCTCTATCAACCTTGAGGCGACCAACATGTGAGGTTTCCTCTTTGAAAAGTCCATGCTCTGTTGAAGCTACAAGACATACAAGCTAGAGCCTAGCTAGAGTAGAAGGCCGTGCAAGTGCGCGGTTACTGCCCCTGCTTCCCCAATGAGGGAAAGAGGACAGGCCGGCGGGCCTTAACTACCTTCGCATACCCCATCTCGAACAAGCTTATCCTTGAGTGCCCGGATCCCCTAGTGGGTTGTGAGGCCTTCGTTTTTGTCTCCTAACGAGACCTGACCGCCCCTTATGGACGGTCCTATGGGCTGCGAGCTTTCTACAACCATCTGCCCGGGGGTGGACCCTAGCGGTCCCTGGCCAATAGAGCATGGCTGCAATAGACGCACCTTGTGCGTGGGCCTAGCGCCCCTTGTACCCTGATAGGGTACCTACTTAATAGCCCTAGCGGCTCTCAGGACCCTTAGTGGTCACTTTTAGTGGTCACTTTTACTGGGACACCACGACGCTAGCCAGGTGGGTTAACCGTGTCCTCCGAAAATAACCCCGAAGGGTTACCACCGGTAACCAACCCTCCCACAAGGTCTCGACGGATAGAACAATCTCTGAGTTGCAAGTAAGAATTTAACGAAGTTGTTTTTTTGGTCGACTTTCAAACGAAATTCGTTGATTTTTCTCGTCATTCCTTTGCTTACTTCCCTAGAGACTTTTCAACCAAGTGATGTCCAATTTTTCTCATGGTTTAGCCCTAATTTAAAACCTAATTTTTGTCGCCAAAGGATCTGAAAATGATCGGCTAGCTATTTACTTGATGTCCTATTGATCCAGACTATTATTGACACCGTGGGCTAAAAATAGGTTTTGGAAATCTCTGTGCTTGAATCAAAGTTTTGAATTATTGTAAGATTTTATTCTTTTCCGTTATCCGAGTGTGCGTCTATGGCTATGTGGGTACACACCAATATTATGTCATTTAGATATGTCACACCAATACGATTTGTTACAAGAACTTTTATAGCTGTAAATTCATTTTTCTCCAAGGTTAACTAAATTTCGATATGAAGCTGTTATCGCGCTGGCGAGTTATTTTGTGTTGAATTTCATCTAAATCATTTTCTTTTAAATTGTATTGGCGCTCATTATTTGTTCAAAAACTAGCTCGCTAAATTAAGACCAATTCCTTGTACAAAATTTCTCAACTTGAAAAGTGCAAATTTTAATTCATCTTTTTGCATCAGCAATGGAAGTGATAACTTACAAACTAACCGCATTTCATCATGTGTACTTTGTACATCTAGATTTATTAGTATAAAATATTCTGTTGTCTAATTTTGTGACAATCTAATCCATTTTTGTAGTTGATCTTTTAAACTAAGACAAGGAACATCTTACTTCAGGATGGGTGGGTCTATCGATGTGAGGACTTTATAAAATTTTTGAACGTTTCGTCGAGCTTTTCGAACATTAAACCGAAATGATCAGATCAGAATTATGTTTTCAAATGAATTTAAGTATCAACATAATTTACAATGAAGTTAACGTTTTTGCTATCGATTAAGAATGGGAGTTCTGTTCATAGTTAGCAATTTTCTCCAAGATGGCATTCGCTTTAGTCCTCGTCTTGGCGTGTACTATTTCACATGGGTAAAGGTAAGGATCTGTTATTTGATGTGCATCGGTGACAAAAGGAAATGTCTGAAGAAGTTTCGCTCTGGTTGGTTTTGAAGCATACTGTTGACTGCTCTCTGAGGTCAGAATATGATGTGCGTTACTTCTTCTAGTTCTCTGAAGAAAAAAAAAGTAATTTGATACAATTATGGGATGGAAAATTAGGTGAAAGCAATTTATACAAACGAGAAAGATGCCAAATACGACCAAAAACTATGTGCACAAGCGAAGCTAAGTGTGATTGAACGATGCAACTTTTGTTCCAATTTAAGTCGCCAAGTGCTTCTCTTGGTAGAACATTCGAAAATGTTAATTTTTGTGCTTTTAAAAATGCTAGTTTTTTGGCGGTACATTTGAAAGTAACTTTAGTGCTTCTTTACACATGCAAAAGCAGGTGTCTTTAATCGGGACCTAGACTTTTCCATCCAGTAAACAAATTTTTTAAACCAATTTTCACTTTCTTTTATTGAATCTTGACAACTTCGAGGTTTTCACTTAGTCCTTCGCACTTAATCTAGAGGTAACAACGTCGCCTTTGCATCCTAACTTCTGGGTTGGAATCCCAGTAGGATTTTTGTAGTATGTATGTAATTGAAAATTTTTCCGGATAAAAATGAATTGTCGGACTTTGTTTTGTCTTCGCAAGTTTGGCGGCTACGTTGCCACATCACAGATTTTGCTGTTAGCAACTTTCATTGTAGCTGCTTGCAAGTACTGTTCTTTGTACTTTCAAGTGAGCTTGAAACTTTCTTAAAAAAATCAATATTTTTTTTTTGGCTCAATTGGTGTCTGCTTAAAGATTGTCGGCTTAGTTGCAACATCACGGATTTTTCTTGTGCTGTAAGCCAGTTTCCTTGTAATTGCAAGTGCAAGTGTTGTTCATTGCAGTTTTAGGAAGGTTGGCTGTTTCCTTTTCATAGTAGTTGTTTTGTTGCTAATTTAATATTCGAATGTCTGGCATGTTTGCCTAAACAACTACTCTCGAGGCATTTGTCTTATGTTTCTATGCTTTTTTGTATCGCAAATGGTGCGAAGCTCAGCTTCATATTTGAGTAAAAGTGCTATTTTGTTGGCACTTTTGATTCAGGAAGCTGCATTTCAGTAGTGGAAATTTGAAAAAAATAAATCTTCAAATAGCGAATGAGTGTCGAGTCAAATGCAGTCATTTTCATACGAATTCTAAGAAAAAGAGATGCTTATGTTATAGGCTAGTCCCAAAAAATACCGTGTAAGTTCTATTTATACTGTAGAAAAGAATGCTCTTTATTGCATAGTTTCTACAAAAAGTTCATCTAGTTTTGCATAGTTTCTACAAATAGTTATCTTGTCTCAATTTTTCAAAGCAATTCTCATGTAAATTGTCAGACCAGATTTTCTGCAAGAAAACTAGAAGAAAAGACCGTTTCAACTGTGTTTTGCTGGTTTTTAAACCTGTTTTGTTTTTCAAGCTGTTATACATTAAAGCAGTGTCTTAAGGGAATATCTGAGATATAGTAATGCTTGCGACCCAAATTAATTTTATTAAAAAAATTGATGTTGGATTTTTTGACGAGCATTTGTAAAAATTGTTTTTTTTTTTTGACAAACTCAGATTGTAATGGCATTTGCGAGAGTTCAGGTTGTAATAGCATTGTATTAGTATTTAAATTTTCCGTAAACAACTTTGCTTTCAAATCTGTAAGAAAATGGCTTTGCTTCATTATGAAGCCTCAGTAACTTCCTAATTGGTTATTCCTGGTAAAGTGAACGGACGCCTTGGGAGTCCTTTTATGCCTATGAAAACGAAAAAAAAAAAACTGTGGAACAACTTGAATTGTCGTTTGTCTGGTGGTTTGATGGCGGCCTATTTTCTCGAAAATTGTTTTTTAATGATCAGTGTGTTCTCATCATTTCAGAAAGCTGTATCTAACATTTGTAAAGATGCAGGTGAATTTAGCATATTTTTCATTTTCATGATTGTTTTTCCTTTGAAAATTTTTTGGTTTAAATGGTTTGAGCATATGATAAATCTAATTAATTTTCTCAAAATAGGTCGTTAAAAGGGCAAAAGTAGGTTTTGCTGAGTTTTTGTGCTTCGGGAACGTAACAGCTTGAAGTTTTAAAACGAATTCTTGCTTCTTTGAATAACGGACGCCTACCCAACCAATGTTCACGCAATTGCCGTTCGGTAATTGTTATTTCAATTCTACTTCGACTATGGAACCTTTTTTTCGATTTGTTTTCCTCAAATTAAACACCATTTGGTACATACATTTGAAGTTTTTTTTTCAAATAACTTTTTTGAGGTTTTTCAAAAATTTTTCGGATTTCATGGCTGCCGTCTTATTTTGCACCTACTAAATTGCATTTTAATGCGTGAGTTGTATCGCAAGTGCCGGGAAGCTCGGTTCGGCTTCTGTATTTTAACAGATTCAATCCATCAGAAATTATTACTATAGTTTTTTTGTAGTACTATTGATGTTGAAATGATCAATTTGTTCATTAAAAGTTTTTAAAAAGCCTGAAAACGGGTGTTTTTTTGATGACTGAAAACTAACCTGCTCTGCCGCAGAGAAAATCTCATCGAGATCAAAATCTCCATCTTTGAGTGCCTTTTTCGAATCGCCATTGCGAAACTCGTGACCGTCTTTATAAAAAGCTGCATCTCCGCTGTAATTGCTTCTCGATGTAAACATTGGATAATCGGTTTTTGAACTAATAGAACCGATTGATCCAGCAATGTTCGGTGCTTTTGATTGGTTAGAATATTTCTTCCAAGCTGATTGATCCGAATATCTTTTCGATGCTGATTGGTTGGAAGTTTTCTTAAACTCTGATTGGTTAGAATGTTTGCCCCACGTACTAGCTGGTGCATTTATGCCAAGGGATCTCCTCAACTGCTGTCGGTATTTTAGGTCATCGATCTCGATGTCTTGTAGCTTTGCAATTCGCTCTTCAGAAGTTAGTAACTTTTGTTGTAGATCGTCCTTGGTGAGTTTGGTCAAATCTCGAAAGACTACCTGAAAAACTTGTGTAAAACTGAAAATTTACTGTGCTAAATAAATGCTAAGTATGAGACAATTAGATCAAATCGGATTCGATTAAATTCGATTTTTTTTGCTTTCTGTTCGAAAAATTTTATTGCATTTTTGATTTCAAATTTTTGCTTGTACTCTAACTTTGAGGTTTTTTAATTGATCTAGATCTGAGATGTCTTGATAAAAGTTGTCAAAAATCACAATTTGTTTTTGAAAACACCATGGTTACGGTCGGCGGTGAAAGATTCCGACGATCCTAGATCTCAAGAAATAAACATTTTTGATTTTTTTTCGAGAAGGGAAGCTTTAAAAAACTAAATTTTTTAATAAAAGTTTTTTCGACACAATTTTTCCAAGATTGCAGGAGCAGAAAATTATAACTACGGATATCTTCGTTGCTTTAGGAATACTACAGTTAGTTCTAATTTTCAACCCTCGCTAAGTGCTTAGGGCAGTACCAACAATCTACCTACGAAGCAAGTTTGCCATGCCTCATATCCTATGATGGTCCAAGATTGCCAATCTGCTATCGTTTTTGCAGCAATATTATTAATAAACTATTTTTAGTTACTATTATAAGGTAACGTTAATTACTTCTATTATAGAAAATATAGCTTCATGCTTGCCTTAGACTTATATCCATCCACAGCCCCGCCTCTAGTTCCGTAACTCCCCCCTCCTCCATAATTCCGCGTCTGTGACAACTGCAAAGTGGCTTCTGTCAGTTGACATCTCAGCTGTTCATTCTCAATGTAAACTTTCTCTTCGTCTCGTTTCAGTTGCTCTTTTTTATCCTCGGTTTCTTTGAGTCGACTGCGAAGGTCGTCCAGTTCGGTTTCTCGGTTTCTGACATCTTTTCTGGAAGAAAACACAGTAATTGACAATGCAAGAAAGAACACTGAGATGAGAGTCAATTGGATCAGTTTTTCTCCCTATTTCGGATCAGTTTTTCATGCAATAGCCTCTTTTTTGGCAGAAAACTTGTTTCGAAAAAATCGACAAGTTGGCGACAAATTTTTACAGCTAAATTTTGTCACGATACGACATTAGCTTTGCTTCAAAGGTTTCTGTTTCTCCACGTTTTTGCAAAAAAAAATTTTGTAAACGCTACTAACTCAAGTTTTTCCAGTTTCCTCCTGTCAAGTTCTTCTTTAAGAGCCCTCTGTTCTGCCTCGAGTCTCCCCCTTTCTGCCAATTGAACTTTCTCCTCCCCGCTCGCACGTTCCCTCCTTTCAAATGCAGGCAAAGATGGGCGATATACTTTATCACTGGTGCTATCTCATGGGTATGAAACTTAGAAAAGAGCCAAAAAACTTCATGATAATTTTTCAGCAGAGGCACAACACGGATTCTCTGTGAAGAGTTGAACAGCTCGTATGTTAATCATTTCTCTTGCGGATAAATCGCATAACTTAAATTTTTAACTTCAATTTTCAAGGTGTGTATTTGACGCAAAAATGCAGCCTAAGGCAATATATCATGCACACTTTTGAGAAAACAATCATTCGAAAACTGAACATTCGACATTCGTGCTTTTAGCAATATGAAAAAAAAAAAATTCTGCTAAATCTCGGCTGCCATTTCGATTTTCGAGACAAAAATCTACCGAAAAAAGTGTCTGCAATTTCGTTTTTCGAGACAAAAGAAACTATATAAAACGGGTACCTCAAAGTGGTGACAGCGTTGTCTAAGTCTCCTTCCTTGCGTCTGAGTTGCTCTTTTAGAGACGATATTTCACTCCTCATCTCCGACTCACGCCAGCGGAACTCCTGACTCTGCTGTTTCAGTCTAAGGGAAAAGTGCGGATTGTTTTTGTGCTGCGATTGTTATTTAAATTCGATATTCCAATTAATATTTCAAGTAATGTTTGGTTCAGCTATTTTTTGTCACTTACAAACCACGCCCCGAAGAACTTGTATGTCTGAAGAGAAGAAGATTTCAAATATTTAAATGACCTCAAATTTTTTAATTACATTGTATTTACAGGTTGTGCAAAAAAACATGTGCTTGAATGTATTTGAAGCAATGTGAAGCTCAGGAAGCGGGAAAAAAATGAAAACTTTTCTTTTTTACTTTTTTTGCTCTTGACTGCGTGAGATTCAGAAATACAAGTGGAAAAATTGCGTGTTTTGCATGTTGAATTTTTCAGCATTTTTTTTTCAATTTTTTTCTGCTATCACAAAAGCTTAGAAAAGTACATTATTGGTCCCAAATTTACTTTTTTCCGCTCCCTGGTGAATATTTAGCTTTACAAAATGAGTACATGTTGCTTCTCCGTTAAAGTTCTTGTCAAATAAGTGTAGTAAATTCACTTTATGTTGATTGAATTAATTTTTCGCAAAACGCAAGAAGTATGCTGAAACTGAAGTTTGAATACCAAAAATTCGCATTTAATTCGAAAAAGATTTTTTTTCTAGCAAAAACCAACACAAGGTTGCTTAACCAATAATCTTTTACGGAAACAAAACTATATTAATTGAGCAATATATTAATTTTTACCGTGTAGAGAGCAGCTCAGTGAGTACTCGAAGCGTTTTAGGACCAAGTTAACATCCCCCAAAAGTTGTTTTTTTTTGGGGGGGGGGGAGGATGTTAACTTAGTTCTAAATTGGTAATTTTCAACCAAGGTAGAAGATGATATTAACTTGGTCTATCTTAACTTAGTCATTTGTCCCCCCCCCCCCCCCCAGTGCAAAAAGAAAGGTGCCCCCCCCCCCAATGCGAAAAAGGGGGGACAAAATATATGCAAAAAGAAACTCACAAAATGATCTTTTAGTAGTCACAAATTGATTTCAGAATAAAGAATAAAAAAACAAGAGTCAAAAATGACTTTTGAATCGTTATCATTAGGAGGTGGACATTTGGAAGCACAAATAACGCGTGTTGACCTGCATAAACCAAAAATGCTGGTCATACAATTCCATGAACTAAGTCTATAAAAAATGCCAGTCATACATTTTTCATACACACTGCTAAAAAGGTGTAATCCAACTTTAAAGAGAACTTTTTTTTATAGTTTTCGCATAAAATCGGTATTTGTCATAAATAAAACAGAAAAACTTTCTAGCAAAAAATGCTATTTATACAATTTCTAAAATAGAAATGGTATGACTAGCGTTGAATTTTTGCCCCCCCCCCCCCCCAAAAAAAAAAAAATTCCAAGTACAAAACAATTTTTAGACTAACTTTTTGCATGCAGAATTTGATTTTGTGTGCATAGTTTTGTATGCACAAAGTTTGGATTGTTTTCTCTTTTCTCTCGATAATTTTTCAAAGACGCTCAAAAAGCCTATTTAGTTCACCTTGGGCAATGCGTGATAAATAAAAATTTCAAATTCAAAAACTAGCATCGTTGAAATATTTTGCCGAAATTCAGAAGTTTGCTATTTTCATTATATTGTTTGTGCGAAACATCTATTTTCAGGTCGTTTCCAACACATTGTAAATCCAAAAACATTCTGTAAAAATTCAATCGAATTTTGAAGTTATAAAATGAAGCACGACGTTTTACTTCACTTTCATTTTTTGTTATCAAATTGTTTGAACTTCGAGTGGAAACAGTTTTTGAAAAAACAGCTTCAGCAAATACTCAAAATTAAATCAACCAGATCGAAGAGTTTCAAGTTCCAAGTGAAGGACAGTTGACTTCATTTTTAAATCGGTCTCGCTATGGGGAGGATATTTGGACGTAGACACGATTAAATTTTACTTCATTTTAAAGTAGTGAGTAAATTTGTGGTGTTTTAAAAAAAAGTCGCACAGAAAGCTGGAAGTGTCAATGATTTCGAGAAAGCAAAGTAGACTGGTTTTCAAAATCCATTTTGAAATTAAATTTTTATAATAGATCAAACTGGGTCAATAAATAATTTTTCCTAGATTAAAAAATGTATTTTCTGATCTAAAAAAAATTATCTATTGATCCAGTTTGATCTATTACAAAAAATTTGATTTGAAAATGAATTATAAAAATCAGTTCACTTTGCTTAGTTTAATTTGATTTGAAACTCGAAAAAAAAACTTTATTAGCCCAACCGCGAAAATTCAATTTTGAGCGTGAACAACTTTAAAGACTTTTTTCTGAAAAGATACACGAAAAAAAAACATTTCAACTGTTATAAGCATCTCATTTTGCTTACTGACATTTGAAAACTTTATCGAGAAAAGTTGTTTGGAAAGCCTTTTTAGACTTTACTTGAGTCGCACATGGTCAGACACTTCTTTAATGCCACTTTCTAACTAGCTTTTTAGCATCAGTCAATAGTAACTAGTTCTTGAAGTTTACAATTATGCCCCATCTACAAACTTGAAAATAGCAAAAGAATCAAACTTAAAAACGTGTTTTTTTAAATATATTGGCTGAATAACCGTGGACGGAATATTTTATCCTACTTACCGAAACAAAAGCAAGCAGTTTTTGGTTATTCTGTGATTTCACTAATTTAACTTCACTAACTTATCGCTCTCCATCTTTGAACTGACACACCTGGTCAGTCTGTCCACTTGTTCACGTGCCACCTCCCTCTCCTCCTTCTCAGCCTCCATCCTACTTCGGAGTAACTGCAACTCACCCTCCCTCAGTGTTGTTGCCTTGTCTACATTGGGGGTACCAATTTCACGTTTACACTTTCTAGACCGAATTTGGCTGATTTTAATTTTCCTCTTTCTTAGCTAACACTAAAAAGGCTTTGTATTTTCAGAACAAACACATCAAGTTTTAATCTTACATGTACTTCAAAAAGGAGCCCACGAAGTTGTAAGGATTTTTGCAGGAATGGGCTGATGGTTTTATTTTAAAAAACATTGTTTGAACTTGTTAAGAAAACTTTTTCAATCTTTTTAGGAAACTTTATGTAAACGTGACAAAAGTTCAGTTTGCGGTGCGGA